AAAATTCTACACAGAGTACACTATACAGGTCATCGGATGTTCAAGATGGGGTTTGTGTCGTCTGACACCTGTACACACTGCACAAACAACATTCCTGACAATTACATTCATGCACTGTGGTCCTGCCCACCTGTCCAGGAATTTTGGGGTAGAGTATGTGAGGATCTGTCAAAATGTCTGAAATGTCATATCCCAACTTCCCCCTCTCTTTGTTTACTGGGAAAGCTGGACGATGTCCCGATTGCAACATCTTTGGTTCACGTGGTTCTGACTGCCATATGCATCGCTAAGAAAACTATCCTCTTGAATTGGAAAAATAGAGAAACTCTCTGCATTAACCAGTATAGAAATCTTTTGTTAGATCATATTGCACTTGATATAGCCTCTGCTTCCACTTCAGATGAATCTCTCTGGGCTCCTTTGATCGGTTCCATCACATAGCGATGGTGGGGGGCCGTTAATGTTGTCCTGCGGGATGGTGTGGGTGGGGGGGGGGGGGTGTGGGGTCTGAGTTTGGAGTATCCGGATGTTCCCTGGAGGTGGGTTCACTGGGGATGTCTGGGACTGGGGGGCCGTTGCCCCCCTCTGGAGGTGCTTGGGTTGCCTCGGGGGGTGGACTGCTGGCGGTTGTGAGTGGGGCCCCTTGGGGATCTTGGCGGCGGCCATGGGTCACTGCCTGGCAGCTGCAGTGCCCCTGGGCGGGTCTGGGTGGAGGCCTGGGGGCTCGGGGTTTGGGGGTGGCCAGCCCCGTGTGGGGATCTGGGCGGGGCCTTGGGGGTCGGGTCCTGACATGTATGCTGCCGGGAAGAAGGCAGGAACACGCAGCAGTGCCTGGCCCGGGTTCAGGGGCCTCAGGTAGATCTTGGCTCCTCTGCCGTTCCATCACAGGGGAGGGAGAGGTCCAGGAGGGGGAGGACCCAACCTTACCTGGATGTCCCATGTCTTATATATTCTGGAAGTTGTGCAAATGCAGGGATGGGCACAGATATTCTGCTGGGGTGGGGCTGGGTTGGTGCCCTCGGACTCTGTAGGGCTCTGTAATGCTGCTGCTTTGGGCCCTGGCAGGATGGGCTGGGGTCTCCATGCCCTGGGTGGCAGTTTGACAACAGAGGTGCCTATTGGGGCCAGTAAGGGAGCTGGCTCCCTGGAGGGCTAAGCCCAACCAGCCATTCCTCCCCATTACCGCATATTTCTCTCCTCCTGCTCCCTCACATCATCACACAAACATACACATAGGACCTTGGGGGGTGGGCAAGTCAGGGAGTGCGGGTATGGACCCCATTTCCGCATTCCTGTGGCAACCTGCCCCCCAATTTTATTTGCACCTTATACACTTCCACTGACGACATTACACCCAAAAACACACTTAGGGCCTTGGGAGTGAGCACATTCAACGGCATTTGGCAGGGGGATATTTCAGCCTCCTCCCGGGTGCCAGTGCCCACTTCCAATTTTAAACCGCACTTAGACACTGATGGCTGAGGGTGTAAGTGGGGTGGTGCGGTGGCATCAGCGGGCATAGGCTGGATGATGCCCGCACTGCCCACTCACCACAGCCATGGAATACACCTCATGATCACACAACACTATATTGGAGCAGGCGGAGGGAGACTAGGGGTCTTAGCCACCTCTGTTGTTGCTTGGCTTCCTGGGGCTGGAGGCTAGGAGGGAGATCTGGCTGTCTGGTTGGGGTCTGGGGTGGTAGGTTGCTGTGCTTAGCGTTGGGCGGGGGAGCCTGCTCATCAGCACCCCAGCAGAAAGGGTCAAACTCTGGTTACCGGTGATGGTTGTACCCAATGTGCAGCAGTACCGGGACCAGAGTGAATAGGCTGTGTATGGGGAGCATGAGTGGGTGTCCGGCGTGCATTTTTGTAAGTCTTGGGTTGTATGTGCATGTGTGAGCATGAGGGAGGGAGTGTGTGACTGTGTTTGTGTATGACTGTATATGTCAGATGGGGCCTTTGACTCCTCCCCTCTCCTGGAACTTCTCTTGATGATATAGATCTTCGTCCCCCCTCCCCCTGCCACACCTGGTGTGAGGGGTTGTGCCTTGGTCTGCCTGAGTGTTCGTGGCAACCGGGTCTGGGGGTTTAAGATTGTTTCTGATCCAGGGGCAAATGTATGTTCTGTTAAAATGACTGATCACATGTCAAGTTGATCCTTAACTAAAAATCAAATGTTCAACACTTTGATAATTTACCTCTGCACTATGCTTCTTGGATTCAAGACAAAATGGCTATTGAAATTACAGTTCTGTTTGTGTGCACCTCAACTGAAGTGGACACTGTCAACTATAATGTCATGACATTACAAAGTCATGACACATATGCAAGTTCAAAATGCAAGGCATTAGACCTTCCAGATGTGATATTCTCACTGCTATTTTAACATAAAAGTAGCCCATTAATTTAAAAAAAATATTTATTAAATAATGGAGATGCTAGGTTCTGCCTGACATCATTGATGTTAAGTAATTGTTATAAGGCTTGTATTAAATGTGTTTTCTTGAGATTCATTATGCACAATGCTCATACACACTTTCTTTTTCCAGGGTATACCGATACTAGAGATTGAATGGGAGGAGAATGGATACATGACTGAACCTCATCCTGGGGTCAATGTCCCTGTACTGGACAGTCCTCTTTCAGATCATGAAATGCTGGAACTGCAGGACAACATTAATCCGTTGCAACATTCAGACTCTTTTGGAGTGGACATATATCTTCACACTGTCCAGTATGTTGAGAACTTACTTGAGGCTAGATGATTACAAGTGTGAAGAAGGAAGGAAAGAGAAGGTAGGGAGAAAGGAAGAAAGAAAATAGTTAATGAGACAGGAAGGAAGGAAGTTAAAAAGTGAATGAGTGGTCCATTTTAAGGTTAATATACTGTATATTGTTATTCAAGGGATTTGCCGTTGTAAATATGAAATGCGAAAGGATAGACCCTAAAATAGATGTCTAAATTCATTTATAGTTGTGTATTCCCTTAAAGGCTTTATCAGCCTGATTTATTTTAGACCAGGAATGTATTTGAAAAGGCTGCTGTCCACTTAATCTATGCTACAATTCTTCAAAATGTAGATGTTCTATCATTGCTAGTGTTGGTTTAGTAACATACATCTTCCTGTGTATCCAGCTCTAGTAAAAACATTTAAAGGTGAAGCACCTACTTCTTATCAAGAGTGCCATTTCTTTTTACATGTTATTGTTTGAATTTTGTCTCGTTTCATAAGTTTTGCTCAACATTTAAGGGGAACTGTGTTACCCAGCTATTGTACTATACCTCTGTCCGTCTACTTATTAAATGGGATAACATGACAAGATTCTATCTACTGGTTTTTTGCTCAAGGGATGATTAGGTGTTGTGAGAAGATTCTGTATGCTACTGAGTCTGTGTTAAATTGCAACTGGACACATACCCACACACAGTTTGTTCATTTGTTCTCAGAGTAAGAATAATGTCTTTTACAATTAAAAAGTTTTTTTTTCTTGATGTCACTGAAGGCTGTGTTAGAAATATATGCAGCTCATTAAAAGGAAAAGTAACTGATGTAACCAAGAGCCTGAACACAGGAGAATAGAGACACCTGCCAAGATAAAGAGCTGGAGGTTTTGCTCCTGATCAGAGTCACTCCCATGGTATAGGCCTGACGATTTACTAGCTTCTCTTACCTTCTCTGCAGACAATGTTTAATATGAGCTTCAAGAGGTCTCTGCCCCTAACGGGGTTTTCTTTCACATAGTAAAAATGCATAATTTTTCTGAATAAGATTAAGAGGCCACCCATAAGATGGAACGTTTGTTATGTATTGTAACCCCAGATTCTATGAATATCCCTTTAAGCAATCGCCTATGGGATTAATTCCATCCCCTAAACCAATCATTGAAGAGTTTTTATGTACGCCCGCCTCCTAGGTGGGTCCTGGCCCCTAAAAATGAGCATAGCTTGTCTCCATAAGTCTTATTAAGCCCAAAGAACCAGCTGGGCCAAGATGCTTAAAGGGCTATGCTAAACTCATAGGATCTAGGGTTACAAAACGTAACCAATGTTCTATTTCGTATAGCCCCACCCTTTAAGCCATCGCCAATTGGATTAAAGGTGGAGCCAGATATAGTCAATGCCACACTGGTTCAGAACCAAACCTGAGCGGACTCAGGTTCCACCTAATAAACCTCTACAGCTGTCGGCGGGCGTAAACATGAGAGAACAGCTGGAGGACATGACGACAGCGTATGATCAGCATATAGCTGATGAGAATCAACCCCAAGGTTGTCTAGCAACTGGTGGGAGAGAAGCTGTCACAATCAAGAGGACACAATGTGACATTGTAAGGACATGTCAAGGAGGGTGTTTAAGAACACAAGGATGACAAAAACGAAACTGCAAGGTTTCTGATAAGAACTTTCAGTGACAGCTGTGGTTAAGCTGAACTGGGCGTATCACCACATTTGTAAGGAGGCTGGTGGACACATCTCTGAGGTAAAACAGGTGGTGAAGACCATGAAGCAGCCATGCATATGTCTGCTACAGACATTCCAGCTCACAATGCAAGAGGAAGAAACTGCCTGATTAGAATGTACTTTTAATCTGACTGGAGTGTCCAAGGCAGATGAAGCATAGACACTTATGATGACGTCACACAGCCAATGTAAAAGACGCTGAGATGACAGAGGTTGCCCTTTGGAACAATCACTGTAGCGAACAAACAGCTGCTGCGAAGTGCACAGCTGAGCTGTGCGAAAGACTTAGGAGTCTGAATGCACGCACTGGGCATAGCAGGTGGGATGCAGCATCTCACTCTGACACGAGGGGAAGAAAAACCCCACCAGAGAAATGGACCTAAAAGAGCTTGTGATGCTCTTTGGGGTAGAACGCTGGGTTTGGGTCAGAGAACGGCTGTACACCCATCATTCTATTTCCTGAGACAAGATGGCAAAATAGAGAGAGAAGTTGGGTCACAAATTCTCTAGGTGGAGAAACGAGGGACTGGGCGGGATTCGATCCCCAGACGCCAAATCTTCCCCCCTCTTTCCACAAGCACGTACTCGTGCTCTCGAGCAGGGTGCCACAAACTTCATATCCATGGACCTACTTGACAATACTACATGGATCCCGCCAACAACACCAAATGTGGCAAGGTGGAGAAATGCGGGCCCGGGTGGAATTCGATCCCCAGACTCACGCACTCTTACCAGTCAGCCAATGGGACATCCCCTTGGCCAAGTAGCCAGGGTGCATGATTAATCAGGACACTGTGACAGGACACTCACACTGCCACACATGGATCGGCGCCGAGTCCTCTTCCTGCTGCGCAAAAAGTTTATCCAGGATGCTAGAAGGGTTGTCATCTTGGTGGATAAGCTTCGTGTGGACAGCAAACTCTACAAGGAGTGAGGAGTGACAGATTGGTTATATTAGCCCAACATCAGGTCACACATTTAATATTCTTATCAGGATTCCCTGGGTTTGAGCACGTCAGGATTAAATAGCTGCTAAATCTGTGTTCTGGATGATGGGATCACCTGTTCTTCACCACCTCACACCCCTATCACCTTTTCTTTTTAGTTCTTTCTTCTTCTTTAACCTTTATAATTATTTCCTTTCCTCCTTCCTGGGTGGCATTTTGGCAACAGAGGTGCCTATTGGGACCAGTGGGGGAGCTGGCTCCCTGGAGGGCTTAGGCCAACCAGCCATTCCTCCCCATCCCCACACATTTTTCTCCTCTTGCTCCCTCACATCATCACACAAACATGCCCATAGGACCTTGGGGGGTGGACAAGTCAAGGGGTGCTGGTAAGGACCCCATTTCTGCATTTTATTTGCACCTTAAACACTTCCACCAACAACATTCCATGCAAACACACACTTAGGGCCTTGGGATTGAGCACATTCAACAGCATTTGGCAGGGGGATTTCTCAGCCTCATCCCAAGTGCCGGTGCCCACTTCCAATTTTAAACTGTACTTAGACACAGAGGGCTGTGGGTGCAAGTGGGGTGGTGTGGTAGCATCAGCTGGCATAGGCCAGACGATGCCCGCACTGCCCGCTCACCACAGCCATGGAATACACCTCATCAATACACACTAACACTATATTGGATGAGGCGGAGGGAGACTAGGGGTCTTAGCACACCTCTGTTGTCCCTTGGCTTCCTGGGGCTGGAGGCTAGGATGGAGATCTGGCCGTCTGGTTGGGGTCTGGGGTGGTGGGTTGCTTTGCTCGGCATTGGGCGGGGGAGCCTGCTCATCAGTACCCCAGCAGGAAGGGTCGAACTCTGGGAACCGGTGATGGTTGCAGCCCATGTGCAGCAGTACCGGCACCAGAGTGAATAGGGTGTGTATGGAGAGCATGAGTGGGTGTCCAGCGTGCATTTTTGTAAGTCTTTGGTTGTATGTGCATGTGTGAGCATGAGGGAGGGAGTGTGTGACTGTGTCTGTGTATGACTGTATATGTCAGGTGGGGTCTTGGACTCCACCCCTCTCCTCGGACTTCTTTTGATGCTATACATCTTCATCTCCCCTCCTCCTGGCACACTTGGTGTGGAGTGCGGTGCCTTGGTCTACCTGAGTGTTCGTGGCTCCCGGGTCAGGGAGTTTAAGATTTTTGGCATCTGCCTGATCAATCCCGGTGGCTGCCTGTTGGGATCTGAGTCCCTGGGCTCTGCTGGGTCCCCGGCGGGGCTGTTCACCCCTGGGTCTCGGGTCGCTGGGTTCTGGGCTCGGCCGGCTTGGGGGTGGGAGGCTGTGGGCTTGCCGCTGGTATCTCCCGGGGCTCTGCTGGCTGCTGGTTATGGCCCCTCGGAGCAATCCTCTGTGCCTCTCGAGGGGGCAGGGGCTTGTCTGGTTGCAGTCTCCCTGGTGTTACTGCGCTTCAGGGAGATCCCTGGAACTCTGGGACTTGGAGCTCCCTCCATCTCCTACACATCTTTGGGGGGCAGATCTATGGTCCCTCACACTCTCTATTGGATGCTCCTATAGAGAAACCTTACATTAACAAGCGCAGGTACACACACAGGTGCTCACATGGTGCTCTCATAAGCATGGACTTGGGCACGTTCAACACGTCTTAAGGCTGTGGTTGGCACTAAATGCACTATGATTTATTATCATGATTGTTCAGTAAAACAATGTTGATTTTATATTTCCTCATCAAGTTGACACAGTGAGCTCGCTCCTGTTGTATTGTTTTTCTCTTTCTGCAGGTCTAGAAGCAGACTCTTGTTCATCACTCTTTATTCCCCCCCCGTCTCTTCCTTTGTCTTTCACCTCTGTCTCCGTGTCTGTTCGGAATTAAAAAGCATTCAAAATCAATAGTATCAGATGTGACATTAAAAGCAGAAGCTTTGATGGTCCACCTGAGAGTAAATCTGTAAGGTTTGTCACCAGCATTCAGACATTAATTCTGTTTGCTTCACAGCCAGACAGGACACGGGGGGGGGGGGGGGGGGGGGGGGGGGGGGGGGGGATACGCAGAGGAGTTCAGCGGCGATCGACAAAGGGAGAAGACAGATCATGCTTGATCACTCCTGATTGCCCCACCGGCTTGTTTTGGGTCCCAGTGCTGAACCTCTGCTAGATTGAAAGAACTGATCCACATTTGTGCCTGAACATCTTGTCAAGAGTGTGACTTCTCATTTTCCGCTTCAGCATGTGTAACAGAAAACCTGTTGTAATCCATCAGTGACAGGCAGGGTTGAGGAATACAGGGTTATGCTGTAAGCACTGCTGCTTTGTTTTAAGATATTAATGATTTTTAACACAATATTTAAAATACAGTATTAGAATGAAACGTTATTTAAAATAATCTTTTGTAAAATTTTAAGTAAGTATTTAGTGTTTATGTGATTAAATACAATAACAACACTAATAACAAGGTAAAAGGTTGGTTTTGGTAGACATCCAGAAGAGCCAAAGACAAGCGGTTGGCACTTTTATGGGGATTTATGGGAGGGCCAGACCCACAACTTTGTATGCTTTCTGCTCGCGACATCAGGTGTAACAGTAATGTACAGCAGGACAAAGTCTTTATCAAAACTTTATTGCATTTCAACAAACAGTAAACTAGTGGTGTGTCAGTTGTATACACTATACAATACACACTAACAGTGTGTATTTAACATACCTGAATTGCAGAGTACAAAAATGAAATACATTTTAGCGGACCTGCTTCAAAACATTAGGGTACCACAGTTTGAAAGTGCCTTAACAATGGCAGTTAAACAAAACAGACTTTTTAAAAGGGACAAGTGCAAGACCTTACCAACAGCTGAGCAAAGCCAGAACTGAAGTCTCGTATCTATTACAGGAACAACTATGCATATTTTGGCAAGTATCAGATTTCAACACCATGACTTACATTTGCATTACACCTTCCCAAAGCCATAGCTGATGGATTTGAGAGCCATCATCAAGTCCTGGTGGAATGTTGTATATGTCTGGTAGTGACCAGGAAGCTCCAATGTGTACAAGCAGGTGTGAGCCACTGGGTAGATTGAGCGTACAACCTTGACATAGAGTTTACTCATTGGCTGCTCCCACCCAACCCAGAACCTCATGAGGTCACAGAGTACATCTGTACAGCAGGACAAATGCTACAGAAGACAGCATTAAAAGTGTGTGAGACCTCAACAGTAATTAGACTTGTATTACAAATGTGGAAACATTCAATCAATAATAACGGTCAATCTACAAGCTTACAATGTGATGTGCAATTTTATTAAGCGAGCTTGTAGGTCTGCCATGTTCACCTAAATTTAGCAACATAATTTTAATTTCATATGTCATCACACACACACACACACACACACACACACACACACACACACACACCAAGATGATAATCAAAATGCAATGCATGAGGAAAGATGAGCCCGTTACCTTCCTCTATGAATTTCCTCAAAAATCCTGTGACTGTACTGATGTTATCCACTGGAACAGGGTCGTCCTCCTCATCACTATCACATGTAGGCTGTGGCCAGCGAATGCTCTCGATTATGGTCTACAGGATATCAGAAAAGGGTTTGATGTTAAATTTCAGAATGTGATTGTGTAAAATAAGTTCTATATTCAGATAGTCAGCTGTAACGTGAGGAAGTATGGGTTCTGTGCCAAAGGTCGTATTTGCCCGGCTGGGTCAAAGCTGGGTCACGTAGCACCTTCACCCACAGATTAAGACCTAAGGACTCCACAACAGCTGAACACCTGCACTCCAGAAGAAGGACTTCACACACAGTCTAGTCATAATAAAACAGAGTCTTAAGCTTCTGTATTTTATTAATGCTAAATAATCATTTGATCACTTTGCTCATTATAAATGTATTTTAATCAAATGAATGATTGTTATGCTTTGGGTAATCATAATGAACTATAATGAATCAGTATACTTAATTAAATAATGTTTTTGAAGATGTTTAGCGATGACCTTCACACCTGCTCATACAGGTCCAGATCCACAGTAACTTCAAAACACATTTGCTCTGACGCACAACAAGTTTGCTTTGGGAAGAGAAGTGGTTTCGGTAAGGAGGCAGAACGAAGAGAGCTGAAGTGCGGAACGAACGCCACGGGGAAAGGCTCCTGTTCTCCCACCACGCTATTTCTGTCAAGCCAGACAGAATAGCTGAAATGCAACCCGCTAACGCAGACTCGTCCCAGAGTCTTTTGATTTCTGAGTTAATTTAAACATGAGAAAGCGCATCTGCCGAAACGCTAAAGCAACGTATACCGAGGTCAACTCTGGACTGGACTGTCGCACACCTTCGTCTTCTCTGTCAGCCAAGGTGTCATCTGGAGAACACATCCTCCTTCGACGTCTGTATCTAAAAGAGGGTCCTAAGTGCGGTGAGGCAGAACACGACCAGATAGCGTTCTGATGCTGTTTTTCTAATAAGAACTAAAGTTTAATTGCAAAACATCATTTTTCACTCAGTTCACCTTCCCTCTCCCTGAAGCAATCTCAGACACCTGCATGCACGCATTCATAATTCCATCATCCTCAATCTTAGCACATCCAACACAAGGTCTATTTGAGCAAGCTTCAATTATCAACTGTTAAAGATTGTCCAAAAAGGTTGCCAATGTGGATCGTTTTTCCTATGATTGTCATTTCAAATCGTTAGTTTAAATTGAAGAAATAAATCTCTTAAAATTCAAACTTGCCTTTTCATTGAACTGAAACACAGACAAACGGATATGATCGTCAGTTTATCGATGAAAACAACCTTTGAGTCTTCTTATCTCTACAACATTTGGTTATTAATTTGTTAAAATTAATATTCCAGATTATTATGTAGAATGGTTCTGTTACAAGCCATCTTCCCAAACTAGCTGACTCTTTAATAAACACTACGTCTCAGGGTTGACTTGTACTTCTATTTATGCGTGAGCGTGATTATCCAGTTGACCTGCACACTAATATGAACTGATCAGCGATCATCATTAACCTAGATTTAGATCCTGGCACACACACTTCTAACACCTCAAAGGAAGACTCTGTTCGAACCCAAGCACACCTCAGTCACCTGCAGCTTATACTATGCCCAGGTTAAAGACTCTAAGCTAATCCCTCTTGGAGTGGGATTAAAGTAACCAGCACCTCACCTTTCTGCGGATACGCGACACCAAGGAGACCCCAGGCAGGAGATCCGTTTTAAAGCTCCTTATAAAAAGGAACAAAAGTTTAATTTTAGATGATGAAGAAAAAATATTCCAAATTCCCGACGCAGCGGGTCAAAAACACCGAACAGGTACAGACTCTCTCAGAACTCCCCCAGAACTCCTCAAAAAAAGCCAAAAGCCCCGAACCAACTGGGCCCCCCTCTTTTATCGCTTCACTACACCCTCCTTCTGCCCCATCTTCGTCTCCATGACAACTCCCGCCTCGGAAGCATTCTCCGGCCTTGAGACTCCTCCCAGCTCCCTTCTTCTTTGTGGGTCATCAGTCAGATGGGGGAGGTCTCCCCCCCTTCCTTCCTCTTCTCCAGCTCAGATCAAAGGACGTCAACCATAAACAATTTCCAGACATGGGTGTCCCTGAAACTCTTATCACATCCTGGACCACTCCATAAAAGTCAGTAAAAGGCTAAAACTACAACATATATTTGCCATGAATAGGAGATTAGTGAAACACACTCATTATTTATGACATCAGGAGATCAGGAGTCAAGTCACACACACACATTTTACACACAGACCTTTTTCTGAACCCTGTAGCCTGGTTTCATTAACACACAGATTGAGATGTAATTCAGAACTGCTTTTATATGATAAGATGACCCTCTTAGGGAAACGTTCAGATCACTTACAACTCCATAGACTATACGTTCATGTGATGTTTCAGCCTGATTGGACCTTGTTTTTACACAAATGGACCCAGAAATATGTGAAATTGTGCTTTGTGAAACATAATTCTGGGTGCCATTTAAAGACCATAAGAGCTTATGACTCCATTCCTTTTTGTGGTAGTAGGGGCTCTTAATTGGAGCACTTTAAAACCAACATGACCTCTCTAGGATATTCAGAAGCCAAGTTATAAGCCCACAAATGTGTGTTACGAACTACGCCTTTAAAGAAGAAGTGATCCAATGACCTTTGTGACAACATTTGGCCCCCTAAGGAATGTGCTATCATCATGAAACACATGATTCATTTACAACTCAATAGATTCTACCTTCCTGTGATGTTTCAGCCTGATTGAAGCTTTTTTCAGAGAACTGGACCCATAATAATGTGAAATTGTGCTTGGTGCAACATAGGTCTGGGTGCCATTTAAAAACTGTACATCCTATCAACTCCATTCCTTCTGTTCTAGATACAAACCATTCGTTGGGAGTATTTTAAAACCAGCCTGACCTCTCTAGGATATTCAGAAGCCAAGTTATAAGCCCACAAAGGTGTAACCAGACACCTGACTATATCTGCTTGGACATGCGTCCCGTAAGGGCCCTCGAAAAGGTCCGACGGCATCGATTTCGACGTGCGTCGATGAGATGGTAGCCGGAATGCACCACCCCAAATTTCGTGCGGCTACGCCAAACCGAATTCAAACGGCGGCCCAAAAGCGTGAAAATTTAGCTCAGGCTTCATTTGCGGCCTTCTGCCACTTGAGCCCCTTTTTGGCCGCCGTTCGGCCCACGTTGGTCCGAGGCGCACGAAAATTCTTTTGGTGCATCTCAGCACTGGTCCAAACCACAGATTTTGAATTTGTGCCGGTCGCATCGTGTTAAGCGTCCCTTTGGGGCCGGAGGGCAGTTTTCCCTCCATTTCTGCCATGTGCTCGGCAAAGTGGCATTTCTCAACGGATTTTCACCAAACAAACATCAATTTGGCATGCCGCCGTCACCCCGATCTAGCCCAGGCAGTTTGGTAGCCGTAGCTCGTTGTTCCGGTGCTGTTCTGGGTCAGAGGTCAGAGAAAATGATGGATTTGGGCTGTTTTGGGGCTGAAAAACAGGGTTCTCCTCAACCTAGAGACTTGAAACTGAGAATGTTTCTTTAAATAGCTGACATCTACAACATATGCAGTTTTCAAGTTGCTGGCTTATTCAGAAGGGTCAAGGTTCACAGCCTCTTGGTACAAGCAGAGAAAATGATGGATTTGGGCTGTTTTGGAGCTGAAAAACAGGGTTCTGCTCAACCTAAAGACTTGAAACTTGCACTGTTTCTTTAAATAGCTGACAGCTACCACATACGTCGAGTTCGTGCCGATCGCATCGTGTTAAGCGTCCGTTTGGGGCCGGAGGGCAGTTTTCCTTCCCATTTTTGCCATGTGCTCGGCAAAGTGGCATTTCTAAACCGATTTTAACAAAACAGACATCAATTTGGCATGCCGCCGTCACCCCGAGCTAGCCCAGGTAGTTTGGTAGCCGTAGCTTGTTGTTTTGGTGCTGTTCTGAACCCTAGGTCACCAGAGGTCACGCTCTTTTTTGGCCACAGCTCCTCAAGGGAACGCCCGATCCGTCCCGTTTTTGGAGAGGTGGTCCCCGTGGTGCCAAGCAATCATAATCTACTGTCAAAAATGAAAAAAAAAAAAGGTCGTATCTGAGTTTGGCCAAAAAATGCCCTCTTAGACGTAACGCCTGAAAGAGGACTTGTGTTTTGCTGTTGAAAAGTGGAAAAAAAAAAGTTCTGCTGGCGCCAGCGGCGCCATCTTCGGATATGTGGTTCGTGGGCCAAACACGAGTCCACCCGAGGTGGTTCGATGTCAAAATATTTTGTGGTTCCGGAGATATAGCCCCCCAAAAAGCGCGATTTTTGCAGATTTGCAATGGCGCAATTCTAGCGCCGTGAGGGCTATCGAAAAGGCGAGTAGATTTTTGCGCTCGTACCGGACTTCCAAACCAGAGAGTGAAAAATTTTTTCGACTGCGCCCCCTAGTGGCCGAACTTGGTCAGTGAGTGACGTAGCGTGACGCAGCTAAAATATTATGATTCGGCATGTCCTTCTGTACAACATATGTGAATTTCATGTCCCTACGTGGAATTTAACTATTTTTAATTAATTAAAAGCAACCAGCAAAACCCTAGGCCCGAAACCACGATTTTTAGACCCTTTTTGGCCGCCGTTCGGCCATCGTTGATCCGAGGCGCCCGAAAACTCTTCTGGTGCATCCCAGCACTGGCCCGAACCATAGATTTCGAATTCGTGCCGGTCGCATCGTGCTAAGCGTCCGTTTGGAGCCGGAGGGCAGTTTTCCCTCCTTTTTCCCGCCTTTTCTGCCATGTGCTCGGCAAAGTGGCATTTCTCAACCGATTTTCACCAAACAAACGTCGATTTGGCATGCAGCCGTCACCCAGAGCTAGCTCAGGCAGTTTGGTAGCCGTAGCTCGTTGTTCTGGTGCTGTTCTGGGTCAGAGGTCAGAAAAGATGATGGATTTCAGCTGAAAACAGGGTTCTCTTCAACCTCCAGGCTTGACACTGATACTGTGTGCTCCTTGACCTCACAGGTCCATCATGTGTTAATTTCAGACAGATTGGAGCTTGTATCACAGATATGCAACCAGAAATATGTGAAATTGTGCTTGGTGCGACATATCTCTGGGTGCCATTTAAAAACCATAGGTGCTAATGACTCCATTCCTTCTGCTGGTGATAGGGGCTGGTAAGCAGAGTAATTTAAAACCAACCTGACCTCTCTAGGACATTCAGAAGCCAAGTTATGAGCCTCCAAAGGTGTATCCTGACATTTGTCTTTAAGGCAGAAGTGATCCGGTGACCTTTGTGACATCATCTGACCCCCTTAGGAATGTGCTATCATCATGAAATGTACAGATAACTTACAACTCAATAGATTCTACCTTCCCGTTGTGTTTCAGCCAGATTGGACCTTGTTTTCACACAAAAGGAACCAACATTATGTGAAAATGTGCTTTGTGCGACATATTTCAGGGTGCCATTTAAAAACCATAGGTGCTAATGACTCCATTACTTCTGCTGGTGATAGGGGCTGGTAAGCAGAGTATTTTAAAACAAACCTGACCTCTCTAGGACATTCAGAAGCCAAGTTATGAGCCTCCAAAGGTGTATCCGGACATTTGTCTTTAAGGCAGAAGTGATCCGGTGACCTTTGTGACATCATCTGACCCCCTTAGGAATGTGCTATCATCATGAAAAGTTCATATCACTTACAACTCATTTGATTCTACCTTCCTGGCATGTTTCAGCCTGATTGGACCTTGTTTTCACACAAAAGGAACCAACATTATGTGAAAATGTGCTTTGTGCGACATATTTCAGGGTGCCATTTAAAAACCACAGGTGCTAATGACTCCATTCCTTCTGCTGGTGATAGGGGCTGGTAAGCAGAGTATTTTAAAACAAACCTGACCTCTCTAGGACATTCAGAAGCCAAGTTATGAGCCTCCAAAGGTGTATCCGGACATTTGTCTTTAAGGCAGAAGTGATCCGGTGAGCTTTGTGACATCATCTGACCCCCTTAGGAATGTGCTATCATCATGAAAAGTTCATATCACTTACAACTCATTTGATTCTACCTTCCTGGCATGTTTCAGCCTGATTGGACCTTGTTTTCACACAAATGGAACCAACATTATGTGAAAATGTGCTTTGTGCGACATATTTCAGGGTGCTGTTTAAAAACCATAAGTGCTAATGACTCAGTTCCTTCTGTTCCAGATAGAGACCATTAATTGGAGTATTTTAAAACAAACCTTACCTCTCTAGGACATTCAGAAGCCAAGTTATGAGCCTCCAAAGGTGTATCCAGACATGTGTCTTTATGTGACACCATGCCCGGTGACCTTTGGGCCAAGGTTTGACCCCCTTAGGAAGGTGCTATCATCATGAAAAGTTCATATCACTTACAACTCATTGGATTCTACCTTCCTGGCATGTTTCAGCCTGATTGGACCTTGTTTTCACACAAATGGAACCAAAATTATGTGAAATTGTGCTTTGTGCGACATAATTCTGGGGGCCACTTAAAAACCATAAGTGATAATGACTCCATTCCTTCTGCTGGTGATAGGGGCTGGTAAGCAGAGTATTTTAAAACAAACCTGACCTCTCTAAGACATTCAGAAGCCAAGTTATGAGCCTCCAAAGCTGTTTTTGGAAACCGTCCTTCAAGTCACACCAGGCCTGGTGACCTTTGTGACATCATCTGACCCCCTTAGGAATGTGCTATCATCATGAAACGTGCAGATCACTTACAACTCAATAGATTCTACCTTCATGTTATGTTTCAGCCTGATTGGACCTTGTTTTCACACAAATGTAAACAGAACAATGTGAGATTTTGAATGTACAACCACTTTATTACAGCTGCCATTTAAAAATTATACATTCTTTGGACGCCATTTATGGATTGTAAGTAGCACACCATTATTTTGAGTACAATAAAACAGACCTGACTTCTCACTAAGGTGTCACATTCAATTTCTCACCTTGTGATGTACACGACTGCAGCCAGGAGCACAGATGCTGCATGAGCAGCTGAACAAACTCTTGTGCCAGCTGACAAAGACGAGTCCAATAGAGGTTCTGGTCAGCAGGGAGCTGCTCCTGTGTACTGTCC